AGGAACAGAGAAACGCGATCAAGGCTCATCTTCTTATTCTAGGCGTGCAACTGCACGCTTTGATTTTTGTGGACAACAACTATGCGTCGCTTAACATACGTCACGCACACCGTTGCTCTTATTGGTTGTAGGTCTGTCCAATTGAGTGCAGAGGCATTTTTTTCCTGGTTCGTTCGAAACACGCCCCATAATCACAGCTCTATGGAGCAGTATCAGACTCATATTCTGACTAGAATTGAGTTGGACTACGTCAGGCTAAAAGCTAGCAACTCTACTCATCCTTCACTGCAAGGGTTGTCAGATCTGCAAAAGAGTGCGTTCAGCTAAGTATCAAAGGGGGACCACGGCGGGACTCGGAAGAGTCGACAGCAACAGGTTTTGGATGTGACGCGAAAACGTTTATTGATTTTTTTTTTAAGCAAAGCTCGCATAGCAGCTTTTTAAGATATATCCAGCTCATTCTGGGCAAAACAAAACATTGTTTAATTATGGCTTCAATCTTCATAGTTGTTACAGAAAAGCAGTGTTGCATCATGGTTAAATTTGACCCAAGTGTAAACACGTGCCTCCCGCTTTGCGATTGGTCTAGTCGGCCTGGGGAGTCTGAGCTTCCCCAGATTGACAAGCTATTTAAGCAATACATGTGGCGTAACTCAATTTGGCTGCCCAGGCAATGTCATAGTAACTTTGTTGTTTTACTTGTTATACTTTGGGCCGGATTTATCAAGATCCAATTTTGCGTGCAGTAATTTGCGCTCGCAAACTGGAATTTTGCGCGAGGGGCTGAACCATGGTTTGCGGGTGATTTAACAAGAGCGATTGGGTAACTGGTGGCAGGTGCAAAACTGTTGGAGACGCCCTATTTAAATGATGGTTTTGCGTGTTTTAAGGAAATTCGACCCCATGGAAATGGAGGTATTGGTGGATGAAGCCAACAAACATTTAAGTGAGCTACAGCAAAGAAGTGTGCCTGTCACACAGAGGAACGCTATATGTGAACAAATCTGTAATAAAGTAAACGCTGTTGGTGAAACCTTGCGAACAGTGGATGAAGTAAAAAGAAGATACCACGATATTAGAAGGCGAACCAAAGAAAAACTGGCATATAACAAAACATCTGCGAACAAAAGAGGAGGGGGCACAGTAGATGAGATGCCTCTGACCAGCATTGAGGAACAAGTACAGCTGACGCTCTGTGAGGAGCAAATCACTGGAATTGCAGCTCCAAAATGGCAATGCTGGATAAACGATATGTTTTGATCGTTTCCTCGTTAATTCCCAAAATATTCACACGGAGTGAAAAACTGCGTTCTCTGCGTCTCCTTGCTTCATTTCAATGTCTCCTTCTTGCGACAATAACCGCTGCCATGTGTGCGCAATTACGCATACAGACCATTTGCACCTTCTTTTGAAATGTGTTAAATATAGAGTCAGATACCTTTAGCAAAATTGCTTTCAGGTTTAATAAATCACTTTGCGAGTGCTAAATTAATATATTTACATGTTCTCCTCCTACAAGGCGCACTTTTGCGTGTAAACGCCCCATATTGCATATTCATTGCAGAAAAAGTACTAAATGGATAAGAGGCTCTATTTAGCACGTTTTAAAGACCAAATCCTTTTAGCAAGCTGTTGTTAGTTCAGTTTGTACATTTTTTAGCGTGCGCAGTGAAATAGCTCACGTTTTTATACACGCAAACCTTTGATAGATCCGGCCCTTTGAGTATTATCAAACAATAAATTACCGTATACAAATCTCACCCGTAGAGAGCTGGAGATAGGCAGCAGCACCCCTTGCGTCTCCGCTTCAGATAAGTGTGACGTAAAACGGATGGATGGATAAATTATACACATTCCTGTGAGATGTTAACGTATAACTCATCCTAGTGTGAAAACCTTACCCCTCCCTCTAGACACATTTTTGAGACCCTGCGGGGCAGGGCTGTGTGGGGATGGGCACTGGGGGCTGGTGGATTGTGGTTACAGCAGGGAAGCTAGCTAAGCTTTATTAAAGTAGGGACAGAAAGAAGAGGGACTCTGGTAGTTACACCACTTAGACCAGGTCGGTAAGCAGTAAACGCAGCCCCCCACACAAGACACAGAAAGTTGGGTGGAATGGGCTTTATCAGTTGGAGCTGCTGGCTTCAAGACTAAGAGTAAGTTATGGCTGAAACCAGTTCTGCAGAAGAGGTGCAGAATGATGATGATGATGATGATGAAAAGCTGTATCACAATAGGAAAAATGAGGCATAATACTATATCAAAGTACAATACTGAGACTCTTGTAAGAAGAAAAGGGCTGAATGTTACAATCAAAAAGATGCCCAGTAATGTCAACATTAAACACCTGGTTTATACAGTTTAACGGCAAAAGATAAAAAAAAGATTTTAGGGTGAGTTACACTTTAAGACATGTCATAGTGGATTTTTTAGGGGACTGAAAACAAATTCCACATTTCTACACATTTGTAAAAAAGGACAACAATCCTTTTTTTTTTAAAACTAATATGCTCTAACATTTGTGCCGTTTTGTTGGTGTATAAGAAAAATTCCCACTTATAAAATATATTTTCTGTAGTGATATATTTAAAAGCTTTGGTTAAGAAGAATGTGAGGTCAGTTGAGCTTAAAGTTTTTGCCAGTTTATTGTTTTTTACATTGAAATGCGTTTGGTCTCAGTGGATGTTTTAAACCCACAGCTGGATCTGCTGGAGGATCAGCGAATGAACATCCTCTCTCGATGCGCCTTCACCATTCAGAGTTGCTGGCTGCGATATCGGCGACGCAGACGCCTCGCCCGCCGACACTCTGCCACTTTAATCCAAGCAGGTAAACCGTTTCTTCTCCAGACTGGTGAAGCAGACTGGAATTAGCCAGAGCCGCGTTGGCCTCGATCCATTCCTGTGTCTGCAGGCTGTGACCTGATAAATCAGGAACAGCTGTTGATGTCTGCACATGGTGTTTAAGACAGGTCTTAAAATCAGGGCACGTGCTGCTGGCTAATGTTCTGTTGGGGATGAATATATGTAGACTAATAAGTGACTTAGTTTGTTAACAGATCATGTTATTGTGTGCAGCTGTGAGGTCCTGGCTGGTCAGGAAACGGATCAAGAGATGGAACAGATCGGCCTCTGTGATCCAAAACACCTGGAAGAAATGGAGGGTGAGAGCGTAGCGCCACCATTCATTGTTTTTCTATCATTTCCTATAGAACTTAAACATAACATGGATATGTTTTCATGCCCTGGCAGACGTTGTTGAAATCCTTAGCTGAAGCAGAACTCGATGATCCAACGGATCTCGTAGAGGAGGACACCCCAGAGTTGAACCCTACTGTCAGGGAGCGGGGCTCCGTGCAGCTCCCCAGCGTACCGGAGCCCGTCCCTGTGTGCGGGTGGCCCTTGGGCCTGGCTCTGGCCTCGGCGCCGTCCATCACCGTTTCCTTGACAGCCACAGGCTTTCAGAAAATGGTATCTGTGATGACCTCCCTCAACCTACCATCCAGGAGAGGCGAGTACAAAGTAAAGACCAACCAGTACAAGCAGGGGCTCGCCTCCATAAGAGCTCAACCCAAGGTGAGGACACCAACCCCCTGTCAAAACTTTCATCAGCTCGGGAATTTTTCCATGATTCTTGTTTATTTTTTAAATCACAACAGGGATCTGTCAAGCTGCATTATCAGCGATCCCCACTTCTTTATGCCGACATGCAGCCGGACCTGAAGAGCGACGTTACGGGGTTCAACGAGATCCTGCTAGAGAAGACTTTATAAAAACGTCATATCATCTGATCTCACACTAAAAAATGACAAACCTGCTCTTTTATTCTCCTCTGCATTTAATTCAGAATATTGAATTGTGTATCTGCCCATGTATTGCAGTTTTAAATAACTTGTATATTTGAGATTATTTCCCAGCCATGTTTATATGTGCCATGCATATCTGATGTAAACATGATTATATTTATTGCAGCATTTTCTATTTTACAGAAGCACAAACTCAAAGCTGATTGTAGTACCTAAAATGTACTGCAGATGGCACAATTTAAGCACTTTAAAGAGTCAAAGCCTGCAGGAGATTATATCTAATTATTAGGCCTTATGTGGTGCCTTTTTCAAAAACCATTTTAATCACAGACGAGCTTTGGATTCACGTATTCAGGTAATTTAAATTTAAAAAAAAAATCATGAGGAATTAAACTTTTAGAAATGTTTCAAATTTCAGTACATTAAAATGAGCTGAATAGGGACTCGCCTACATCCTGCTCCTGGACACAATGTGAACAATTTATCAACAAAAGGGCTGATTAAATAACCAAAAAAAAAATCATTTATTTCTTGGATCTTAAACATATTTTCCATTTCATAACCGGAAGCTTTATCTTTGGTTTAGAGAGATGTGGTTTTTAGTTATTTAGTTGATCAGTTTCAGCATTAAAACCAAACACTGTAGGTTTTATTTAATAGATGAAAACAAAGGGGCTCCAAACATTTCAGTTTTTTTTTTTTCTTTCTTTTAGGTAGTTTTTAGAACATTTTGAAAGTTAAAATCTGGAGACAGCAATGGCAGTAATGTGCATCTCCTTTAACTAGATTATTACAGTAGAACCATCTCCTTCCACATCTTTACCTTGGTTCCTCTTCATGCTTTTTTGTTCGTTTTTTTAGACTTGGGTCGATTTACTTTTGGTATAAGTATGTTTCCTGTATGTCTGTGTTGTCCTTGGACAGACTGGGCCACCTGTCCTTTTCTCACCCTCCCCCCACCCTACAACAGCAAGCAGGTATTGTAAATGGGTGAACCTACCAAAGTCTTTTAAGGACGTCTTAAAAAAAACAAACTTAAATCTAAAAAAAAAGTCAATAAAATTATGTCAATCTTCAGCTCTGAGGAATCAGTTTCTTTGTTTTTAAAGTTGTCTTTATTAGAACATTATATACATACTGTTGCACTATAATTACATTGAGAGCAGCTATGGCAGGTACAAAGAAGATATATAAGAAATGTTGGACACTTTTTATTAATCAGTCAGTTAATGCATTTCCTTCATTTTCAACAACTTTTAAACACTCGTCAGCAAACTCCACAAACAGAGGTTCCTGCATGGCGGCTTTAATCGCAGCGTCTTTGCTTTCTGCGTCGTCAACGGATCGCAGCAGCTGTCTCAGGTGGGGGTTGCAGAGAAGATCTCTCAGCTCTGTTGATTGACCTGAAGAGAAAATGAGAAGTGAAATAAAAACCTAAGAACCCCCCCTCAACAAAAACTAAAAAAAGAGCTTTTCTGAACTCTGGCTGTGGAAGACAAAACGTAAAACTGAATTATTACTTAGTGACTGAAGTCGCTGTAGCAGCACTTTGTCGATGATGTCGTCTTCTTGCAGAAGATCTTCCACACTCCAAGGCTCTGCTGGGAATTTAACAAATTTGCAGAAATTAATTAAGCACCATCATCAAGACATGGTCTCAGTCTGAGACTATATATGGATTATTATGTTCAACTGCACATATCTCACAAACTATGGGAGAAAGTAGCCATTTGCGGTTTGAATTAAATGAGTGCTTGTGGATCATAATGGCCGATTGGCAGAAAAACTGGTGCCTACATGAGCAATGTCACCTGAAGACATAGAGGCGAATATAAAGCTCCTCCAAGAAGGTAAATAAAATCAGAATCTAAAAGTACTGCCGATTTTCCACATAGATGAGTAAATTTAGAGCAAAAAAAAACAAGTTTTTTTCCAAAGGGAAGATCAGGGGTCAGCAACCTTCACAGTCCAAAAATCCAATTTCAGTCTGCTACAAATAAAACTCAACTACCGTATTTTCACGACCATAAGGCGCACCGTACTAAAAGGCGCAGTCTCAGTTATGTGTCCCATTTCTGTATTTAACACACACATAAGGCGCACCGGACTATAGGGCGCGTTTTTTATATACAGGTACATGTCCTCTACCACCTTTAAATACCTCTACTGCGTATTTAAAAATACAGCGGGCCCAAAACTGAGTATGACTGTGCTTTATTAATGTATTTATTACAAAGTATTAATCAAACCTGGCAGCTGGCCGTGAGACAGACACATCGCAGATGACACAGCGCTGTGATTACTCCTAAATTAACTTAAAATCCTGAAACCTGCCGACGGAATATGTTTGCTTTTATGGGTGCCTGCAGTTTAGCCTAAATTATTTAGATGAAAAACACCTGCCATCCACCGCGTGAACCCGGAGGCTGCCCAGCCTAGAGGCTGCTGATGAAAGGATTTCTACTGTCGGTGCACCGCTGGTATGTGGGGGTCTGAGCGCCTCCGACAGAAATAGATAATCTGGATGAACTGACTGCAATTATTAAGTTTTCAGGTGGCCTTTCTCACTTAAAAACATATTAAAACTACTTTATTCCCACTGATCACAGCAAATATAGCTGCAAGATTTAGATTATTTAGATGAAAAAACACCTGCCAGCCACCGCGCTGAAGAGGAGGAGACGCGCCCAGAGGCTGCTGTTGAATTAAGTTTTCAGGTAGAAAAATAGAGCGGGAGCAAAACTGAGTATAATTGTGCTTTATTCATGTATTTATTACAAAGTATTAATCAAACCCATCGAAGTCATCATCCTCTGTTTCTGAATTAAACAGCTGCGCTAAATCAGACATGCCAGTTTCCCCTTCTTCGCTGTCAGAGTCACTTTCCGTGCAGCGCAGCTCCTCAGAAATAATGCCGGCTTTTGCGAAAGCTCAAACAACAGAGCCAGCAGACACGTTAGTCCAAGCATCTACAATCCATCCGCAAACGGTGGCGTAACTTGCCCGGCGCTGCCTTCCACTTCTCCTGAAACTGTGGTCTCTGTCGGCCATCCATCGCTCCCACGCCGCTCGCAGCCTTACTTTGAACGGCCGCTTCACACCGATGTCGAGCGGTTGAAGCTCCTTTGTCAGACCCCCCGGGATAACGGCGAGCACAGTATCCATTTGATTCACCTTTTTTTTCACATCGGCTATGAGATGGGCACGCAGCGATGGTGATGCGTGGAAAAAAACCACCTGTTCTCCTCACATACACCTCCCTCAGCTACGCTTTCATCATCTCCTCATCCATCCAGCCTTTTTCATTTGCGTTAATATCATGTGTCATCAGAGCGCTGTGTCTGTCTCGCTGTCAGCTCCCAGATCAGCTTCTCTGATTGGTTGATGCGGCGCGTCCAGCAGCAAAACTTCAATTTTTCCATCTCGAGCAGCAGCAGCGCGTTGGCAGATGCTTAAACGCTCCTGCTGCTCAAAACGCGCTGCAGGACCTTTTGCTGCGCCTATACGCGCGTCAACCATTTACTTTGCATGTAAACTTGCTGCTTCTGCTGCACCTGCTGGGTCCGGTTCACACCGATGTCGAGCGGTTGAACAGCGAGCACAGCCTTAATTTGTTTCCCCATGTTTTTCACATCAGCTGTGAGATGGGCACGCATGGAGTTACATATTAACAGCGATGGTGATGAGTGGAAAAAAAAACACCTGGTCTCCTTACATTCAGCCACTCTTTCATCATCTCCTCAATGAGGTGGTCTCAAAAGTCGCAGTTACAACACACATAAGGCGCACCGCACCAAAGGGCGCACCGCACATTTTGAGGGAAAAAAAAGACGTTTAAGTGCGCCTTATAGTCGTGAAAATACGGTAGTTATAAGAATAATTACAATCCAAGATAGACCCTCCCAAGAAAGCTAGCTCATAAAGGTTTCTAAATACCTACTACACAAATGAGTTTCTTTCAAATTAAATAATCCATTATTGTACAATTTGAAGCTATAAAAACATAGTGTACAACAACAGAAACAACTTTATAAGTAGAACTTAAGATAAAAAGGAGCCAATCTGACTTTAAAACAGAAAACTACCAACAATTTAAGCTGCATCAAGAGCACTAAATCTGTAATTTAATACAGGTTGAATAAATTATAAACATGGCCAAAAGAAAAAAAAAGTCTTGATCCAGTAAATAGGTGAAAACTATGTTGTTTCATCAGTAAAAAAAAAGAAAAGATTACAACACTTTCCTCATAAGAAATATAAATTAATCTTAGAAAATATCAAGTGGGAAAACCAGACACCAACAGTGCTAAGAGTGTGTAAACTAAAGCATCGCTCTTATCAAAGCAACACTGTTTTAAAAAGGACTACAAACATGTCCTCCAGTGAGATGACAGCTGACTGAGCAAATAACCTGCCATTATCGGAACGCTACATGTTATGCTAGAAAAAGTAGAACAGGGAAAAATATTACAATTCTGCGCATCATAAAAACAAATATTTTAAACGGAAAATCTGCCCCTCATCATCCTCCATAGTTTTCCTATAAGCTTCAGTTGAGGACAGTTAACAGGCTAATCCAAATTCTTTCATAGATTTATGTTGATATTCCTCTCAAGGCTGCCGCAACCCTGCTGTTGGTGCATCTTTCTCTACTACTCGTTTTCCTTCCACGCAACTTTCCATAAATATACATGGATAAAATATCACACAGCAACCAGTTTCTTTAGCATCAACCATTTGTGGTTCATCTGGACATCTGTAAAGTCAGTAATGCTTTCATTTTAAAGACACATCTTGGCTAATGAGGGTGTGAATCTTATTAGTTTTAAATATTTCCCCTTCTAAAATTTTCTAAGCTGCTGGATTTTTGCTTTCATTACCTGTAAGCCATAATAATCAGTTACTATGAATAAAAGTACATTTCTCTATATGATTGATGAATTTATATACTATCTGAGCTTCTCTTTATTACATAAATTACAAAAATATAGAACTATCTTTACCAGATCCAGCAGCATCTTTAGATGCAGGACTTTGTGAAGCCGGTTTCTCAGCAGGAAGGCAGGTGTCTACAAATACATGATGACAAATGTTAACTTCAGGTTTAAAGACAAAGTCCAAAAATGTAAATGTCAACTTTTAGGATTTAAGCTTTTACCTTTGTGTTTCTTGTAACAGCCCAGTGAACAACTGCAAACAATTAAAAAACATAAAGGAAGCAGTAAGTTACCATGGGGATCAGGCATATTTATACTTAATTACTATTATTTAATTTCAGAATAATGTTTATGAATCCTTCATGGAAAAAAACTTACAGCTAAAACAAGGGGAAGGAATGATATCAATCTACCTTAAATGCATTTTCTACTTTAAGTTTCAAAGAGGCCTGTAGGGGGCAATTCAGAAATACCTTTGACCCAAAAAGGCTTCCGTCCCATGTGTTGAAGCGTTTGTGTTATGTTTTTCTTAAAAACATATTTATATAGAAAATAGGAAATAAGCGTACACAGCACCGGGATAAAATATCGACTGCGATCAATTTATTTCTCTTATATTTTAATCACCAACAACATACATAGCTACGCTTTACTCCCGTTGTTTACGTAGTTTTCTGACATGTAGTTTTACCCCTTTAATTTGTACCAAAAGTATAAAACTATTTTTAAGAGACATGCATATAATCCCAAAGATTCTGAGATTTTTAATCTATGTTTACTTATTTAATGCAGATAAACAGGTAAACTAACACGTGACAAACTAGCCTGTAAGCACCCAAACTCGTTTACTTACTATCGTATTCTGCAGCTTGGACATCTGTATTTTGGGGTTTGTTCGCTGCACACGCTGCATATCTGCATTGTTCCAGACGGATACGGTTCTCAGAAAACCAGAAAAATGCTAGATTAATTTCTTTCAGTACGCCAGAGAATGGAAATTATAGTTTCCGGTTGAGAGGTGTGCCTTTCACAATAAAAGCCCCAGTTTCCGCTGCAGAAACATATCGAGCTTCCTATCATTAATGCTAAAAAATATTAGTTGTATTTGGATTATATATTGGAAACATACAACAAATCGTTGTTAAATAATGATTATGTATAGGAGAGGGGGAGTCGGTGGGTCAAGGGATCGTTCTTATATGATCCTGAGTTGTTTGGAGAACCATAATACATTAGGAAATATATAAATGTGATTAAAATAAATGAATTTGCCAGAAAATAAGTTAACATGTTAGGTTTATTCTTTATACATCATGTGCATTGTTATTCTGTTAGCCAGATTAGACAGATTAGAAGGCCTTCCCTCACATTGTGGATGTCACTGTGTGTATGGAGGTCATCTAATCAGGACAGCCTTCATGTCTTTAGAAATACACAGGATATGGGCACATCTTGGAGCCACTCTGATAAAGGGGAGCTATCTGTAGTTCTTGGGCATAGAGGCAAGATGCATACAGGTCAGGGCATTGATGGCGTATCAGTTTTTGATACGGACAGCTAAGCATCCACCTGATGTAACACATGGACTCATGAGGTATAAGAAGCAGGAGATGACCTTGTTTGGGGCTCAATCTTTGCCGGACACTCGCTGACGTTTTTTGAGCCCACAGCTGTGCAAGCTCCAAGCATTTTCTCTGTCCTGTAACGACCTGATCTGGAATTAACTCTGTTACTTTTTTACTCCTGATTTATAGTCCTTTTTTACATGGTTTTACCCAGTCTGAGTTAAGAGTAGTAAATAACTTGCTCCCAGGAAAAGAACCGGTAGGTAAGTCCCGAGGTGCAGCTTCAGGGGGACATAACTTCCATATTAAACAAATATATTATTAATAATATCATTAAGTTGTAAAATGTAATATAAATGTCCCATTAAATAATATAAAATACATTTTAACGTACTAAAATTCCATTAAAAATGTAAACAGCTGAAATGTATTGGAACCTCAAATTTATAGCTATGTGAGAAAGTGGAAGCATCTGGGTTCATTTGTCCACCTATGCAATCAGTGCTAACTGATCTAGTCCTTTGAATACAGGAACACTTTCCAGGAAAGTTATTTTATGACACTTAATTACTCAATAGAAATGACTGCATGTGTTACAGGATCTTGCAAAATCGACTTTTTACACAATAATTGTTTTTTGTAGCAGACCGACGCAAAGTGTCGAGTCAAAAAATGGAAAGGAAATTAGTATTTATTTGGCAATTAGATCTAAATTTGCACACATATGTGTTGTGAATATATTCCCTAAATACACTGCCACCATGTTGAACCATGATGTGGAGATGGATCAAGCCAACTGCAACAAGGGTCAGGCTTCAGAAAACTTAAACTGGGGCAGGGATTCAACATCCAGCAGAGATTGAACGAACGGAACGATCCTGTGAGTGCATTCAAGCAAAGATTTTCAAAGATGAGACAAAACAATGCGACCCATTTCTTTTTCAAATTAAGACATTTTATTCAATCCAGTACAGTTTAATAACACCTGCACCCATCTGACCATATTTATGCCACAAACTTAACCAAGAACACACACAGCTGACCTATATAGCTCTGCACTAAATATTTGCAGAAAGCTGTAACTTGAGAGGGGTGGGTCCAGTTACAAGGCAGGTTAGGAATGGAGAGTTGTCTCGTGACTGATGAGTGGGCATGCCCTCAATGTCACAACCTCCATTTTGCTGGATCAGGAAAGGCAGAAAAAAACTTGGCCGTTGTCAACCTGAGAAATCCATCTGATCTGCAGAGAAAATAATACAAAAAAATTAAGTAAAATAAAGCTTCCTGAGACAAATTAACATGGCTATAACAAGACAATGCAGGACCAACAGGTTTAAATCGTGTTAATACATGCACATGAGCACTATACTGCACTAATATATATAGATATATAATATATCTCTATATCTATATATATACTGCACTACTTTATATGTATATCTATTTGTATATATATCTTTTATTTTGATGCTAAACGTCAAATGAAAGCCAGCTGCATTCTGACAAAGGCAGAGGTTTGACTAGTCAGCAAAAACTGGTTGCTTAAAACAAAAACAACCAAAAAAAGAAAACTTTTACAGTGTTTTAAAGGTTAGACTGCAACATGCTGCGTCTCACCTGTAAACAAAGGGACATCATGAAGAGGCGCTCTTGGTTCTTCTGCGCTTCATTTGGCTATTGTGATATTTCTCAGCGATCTTCCTCTCGTGTCCAGCGGGGCTGTGGCGGTTGGTGTTCAGCTCGATCTCCCTCTTGGTTCGGCCCTTGCCTCCGGCGTGGCAGGGGTATTCGTGCAGGTTGTAATAATCGTACTGATCGTAGTGCGCCTCCTCGAAGGAAGCAAATCTTTCCATATCTGTCGCCATTTGGAGAAAGTGGAGCAGCAGCTGTTTTCCTATCAGTCGGATCTGGGAGCAAGTAAATAGATGACGTCACTCTGTGTTTATATACGCAGAGCAACGTCATCAGGCAGCCTGGTTGTGCTTTCTTCCCTAGTTGTTATTATAGCCTACACCACTGTTGTTATTACAATGTGTGAATTTTTTTTTTTACAACGGATTACTTACAGTTTTATTGATTTATAAATAAAAAAAATTCAGTAATTCTTTTGTTAAAAAAATATGTAAATATTAATATTTGAACATCAGAATGCAATTTTTTATTTTTTTATTTTTTTAATTTATTATTATTATTATTATTATTTAATTGTCTTGATACCAAAGAGAGCCCAACAGATTTTACTTTCACAAGTGGAGCAGTACAGCTATTGCCATAGTGTTCAGCTTGATTTATGCATATAAAGCTTTATTAGGATTATACAGAGAGTATTACAGATATGGACACTGCAATGTAGGTAGAACAGGAAAGGAAAAACTGAAAAAAGGAGAAAAGATTAAAGAAAGAGGAGATAAAAGGGAGATAACAATAAAAACATCTTCAGTCTGCTTCATCACCTTCAAATAGATGTAAAACGAACAGCACAACCAACAGACATGGTACAAGATATACAATAAAGTAACACCTAGAATACTATCACTGAAGTATAACTAGAATTATTTAATCTGACATGTATACTGTCGTATACTGAGAATGCAAGTTTAGCAGATTTCGCCTATATCTGTACACTGACTGTCAACCTCACACCTGAATGTGCATTGATGTGGTTTAACTTATTTCACCTATGAAGTTTTTGAGACAGTATTATTATTATTATTACTACTACTACTACTACTACTAGTAATAATAATAATAATAATAATAATAATTGAATTTTATTGATCTCATATTGGAGAAATGTATCCCTGCATTTAACCCATCCCCTTGGGGGGCAGTGGGCTGCCAATGCCAGCTTTGTGATGCCAGTCGCCATCAACCATGAACAAGCAATTTGTTACCTGGTATGGTGATTAATGCCAATAAACCAAATGCTCTTGCACCATTAGAAACAAAGAGCTCTGCATGAATGAAGACTCCTCTGAGACTGTTCCCAGGCAATCTTCAGCATCTAGAGTGGAGCACGGTCCTCTGTGGGTGAAAATGAGGAGAGCACAAGGTGCTTCCCTGCCAAACACTGAACCATCCCCAGCCGGCTCCTCCCGGCCCCCTCTGGCTTCACACCTACTCCAGCATCGTCTGTCGCTGCTAAACCTGCCGATGGCACTAATGCTGCTTCAACCACGTCAGCCTCTTCAACCCAGGAGGCTAGCACCCTCACAGCATTGTCATCATCATGCTCTTCCTCCCCTGAGCCAGGAGAAGCGAGTGCTTCAGGAGCTGGAGGCAGTAGGAGCTCAACAACAACTGCTGGGGTGAAGCCCAGACAACAGGTCCCTAATGCTCCAGCATCAGATCCTCTTCCACCAGGATAAAAATCCCATTTAGATGCTAAGATCCTATCCAGATCTGTCTGACATCACTGCTGCCAAGCAAACATGAATGATGTGCATTCCATAACTAGATATGGTGACTTAATATCACAATGTTTTTTTATCACTGCTGCTTACCTTATCAAGGCTGCACTTTAAAAAATGAAATTGTCTAGAGAGCTGTCCTAAATGAAATGTCTTTTTTTTTTTACACTTGTGTGTACAAAATGACAAAATAAATCTGTCTAAGTCTAAGTCAATGTAAGGTGAACCCAACTACCTCCATGAATTCTTTGGTGCCAATCCAAATATTATGCACACACGAATATGCACCAAGTGGCAGGCACCATTCAAAATTTCCTTGGGGAGTTTTGAGGTTTATTGTTCTCCTGTTAGAGAAATTTACCTCTGCATTTTTACCCATCCCCTTGGGAAGCAGTTGGCTGCCACTGTGCAGCGCCTGGGGAGCAGTGTTTGGTTAAGGGTCTTTGCTCAGTTGCCCAGAGTGCAGGCTGTGGGGATCAAACCGGGTACTTGCAACCTTCTCGGAGCACAAGTGCACTGCTCTAACCCACAAGGTGAAATCTGCCCCAAATACTCATCTCCAATTCTGATGGAAAGTAAATCTCCACCCAGGTCAAAGTCTCATGCAGCTTCTAGGTTTTCTTTCAGGGTTTTCCTGTTTTACCTCCTCCTTTTATCAGTTTAACAGAGTAATCTTTGTTTTTAAAAATGCATTTATAATGACATTAAAATAGTTGCGTTATCAGGGCCTGATTTTGGGGTCATCTGTTGCTGCCATATCAACTGCAGCAATAAACAGTCCAATCATGTGGCTTATACTTTTTGGTCACATTCCCAATAGCAATAAACAAAAATAACCTGAAGTGCATTTTTCCAGCTCCAGATATTTTTTCTCTGCAGGTGCTAAAGGGGGGCCAAGCATTAAATTGAGGGTCTATGAAGCATCCTTTGTTTCTATTTTTTTAATGCACACTGATGCAAACAAAAACGGGGCCCTCACTACTAAAATCTGCAGTAAACATATACACGCAATGTCAACAATTAAGTGAATAATGAATATGTCGGGTTCTGAATATTTAAAACATGCATGTAGAGTCTAGCATGATACATACAATGTTACAATCAATTCACTGTATTTTTCCTAAGATAATGGGAGAACTAAATACAGTGAATTAAGCAGCAACACCCACATATGTACAGCTATTAATAGGCAAATTAATTATGAATGAAGAGTTACCTATAATAAACTAGTATATTTTTCATTTAAAGCTCTCTGCAATGGTTGCATCAGATAATAATTGTTGGACCCCATGATAATAATAAAAAAATCTATCTATCTATCTATCTATCTATCTATCTATCTATCTATCTATCTATCTATCTATCTATCTATCTATCTATCTATCTATCTATCTATCTATCTATCTATCTATCTATCTATCTATCTATCTATCTATCTATCTATCTATCTATCTATCTATCTATCTATCTATCTACTTTAGCTGAAGCGACCCCTATGGCTCCCCCTACTGCTGCCACTGCTGTAGTGCAAGAACAACAATAAACAAAAAGCTTTGATAACTAAAAATGACAAATGAAACTAAATTATTACACTCAATACAATTCGAAAATACTTTATTAATCGGAAAGGCAAATTAAATGCCTTAATAACACATAGGTTTTATTTATTTAATTACCAGTTGTTGTAGATGTTGATAGCTAGGATCTTCTGTAGCGCTCAGTCTTACAACAGATCAGAATTCTGACTTTTTTCTCAGAATTCTGACTTTTTTTGAGAATTCTGACTTTCTTTTAGAATTTTGAATTTAATCTCAGAATTCTGGCTTTAATCTCAGAATTCTGACTTTTTTTTAGAATTCGGACTTTTTTCCTCAGAATTCTGAATTTATTTTAGAATTGTCACTTGATCTCAGAATTCTGACTTTACTCTCAGAATTCTGAATTTTTCTCAGAATTCTGACTTTAAGCTCAGAGTTCTGACTTTAATCTCAGAATTCCAAACTTTTTCTCAGAGTTCTGACTTAAATCTCAGAATTCTGACTTTTTTCTCAGAGTTCTGACTTTAATCTCAGAATTCTGACTTTTTTTCTCAGAATTCATTCTGACTTTAATCTCAGAATTCTGACTTTTTTCTCAGAATTCTGACTTTTATATCAGAATGCTGACTTTAATCTCAGAGTTCTGACTTTAATCTCAGAATTCTGACTTTTTTCTCAAAATTCTGTCTTTTTTCTCAAAATTCTGAATTAAACTCAGAATTCTGACTTTTATCTCAGTATTCTGACCTTAATCTCGGAATTCTGACTTTTTTCTCAGAATTCTGACTTTTATATCAGAGTTCTGACTTTTTTCTCAGGATTCGTTCTGACTTCAATCTCAGAATTCTGACCTTAATCTCGGAATTCTGACTTTTTTCTCAGAATTCGTTCTGACTTTAATCTCAGAATTCTGACTTAATCTCAGAATTCTGACTTTAATCTCGGAATTCTGACTTTTTTTTAGAATTCGGACTTTTTTCCTCAGAATTCTGAATTTATTTTAGAATTGTCACTTGATCTCAGAATTCTGACTTTACTCTCAGAATTCTGAATTTTTCTCAGAATTCTGACTTTAAGCTCAGAGTTCTGACTTTAATCTCAGAATTCCAAACTTTTTCTCAGAGTTCTGACTTAAATCTCAGAATTCTGACTTTTTTCTCAGAGTTCTGACTTTAATCTCAGAATTCTGACTTTTTTTCTCAGAATTCATTCTGACTTTAATCTCAGAATTCTGACTTTTTTCTCAGAATTCTGACTTTTATATCAGAATGCTGACTTTAATCTCAGAGTTCTGACTTTAATCTCAGAATTCTGACTTTTTTCTCAAAATTCTGTCTTTTTTCTCAAAATTCTGAATTAAACTCAGAATTCTGACTTTTATCTCAGTATTCTGACCTTAATCTCGGAATTCTGACTTTTTTCTCAGAATTCTGACTTTTATATCAGAGTTCTGACTTTTTTCTCAGGATTCGTTCTGACTTCAATCTCAGAATTCTGACCTTAATCTCGGAATTCTGACTTTTTTCTCAGAATTCGTTCTGACTTTAATCTCAGAATTCTGACTTAATCTCAGAATTCTGACTTTAATCTCGGAATTCTGACTTTTCTCAGAATTCTGACTTTAATCTCAGAATTCTGACTTTAATCTCGGAATTCTGACTTTTCTCAGAATTCTGACTTTAATCTCAGAATTCTGACTTTTTTCTCAGAATTCTGACTTTTATCTCAGAATTCTGAACTTTTTCTCAGAATTCTGAATTAAACTCAGAATTCTGACCTTAATCTCGGAATTCTGACTTTTTTTCAGAATTCTGACTTTTATATCAGAGTTCTGACTTTTTTCTCAGAATTCGTTCTGACTTTAATCTCAGAATTCTGACTTAATCTCAGAATTCTGACTTTAATCTCGGAATTCTGACTTTTCTCAGAATTCTGACTTTAATCTCAGAATTCAGACTTTTTTCTCAGAATTCTGACTTTTATCTCAGAATGCTGACTTTAATCTCAGAGTTCTGACTTTAATCTCAGAATTCTGAACTTTTTCTCAGAATTCTTACTGAATTCTGACAGCTAACAAACATGTTAGCATCAAGTTGTAGCCATGTCTGTTTTAAAGACCAGCTCTCTTGTTTTAATCACCTTCTGTTCTTCCAGTAATGAAATAGCATCACCAGGGACCCCTTGGGCAGATAAAAAGTTGTCTGATTCCGTCATTTTCCACCAATGTGTTACTGGTCTTCCCAAACAACTCACATATTTGTTAGTGAAGCTGAGTGCTCCCACATCTCTTCCTTCATGGTGCCCATCTACATTAAGATCCAAAATTCTGAGATTAAAGTAATATTTCTGAGAAATAAGTCAAAATTCTGAGATTAATTTAGAATTCTAAGAAAAAAGTCAGAATTCTGACTTTTATCTCATATTATATTGAAATAAAATTATAAATCAGTTAACTTTTTGTTTTTTCAGTGGCCATAATCCTTTTCCCTAAAATTCCGTTTGAAGTAACAGATTATAATTAAAAATGTCTCCGGACCTTTACTGATTTTTAATTAGTGATCCCTGCTCTAGATGTTATTACACTTCTCGTCTCAATGCTATCTCTACACATCATTAGTTTCCTTTCCTCTACTATCCTCTGGATGCATTCTGCTGTCTGGCCCCGCCCCTTATGGGGTGACACGTCCTGACGTTTTTCCACGTCGCAGCTCTGCCTCAATCAGGCGAACCTGCTGCGTGTGCATGCGCGTCTCCAGCTAGGCCAGAGAGTGATGGCGGCGCCCGTCCTGAGAGTGTCCACCCCTCGGTGGGAAAGAATAGCCCGGCTCCTCGTCTGCCTGCTGGGTATTCTGCTTTCTCTGTATGCGTTTCACGTCGAGAGGGAAAAGGCCCAGGACCCGACTTATAAGGCCATGTGCGACGTCAGTAGCTCCATCAGCTGCTCTAAAGTGTTCAGCTCCAGGTAATTTGAATTCAGCAAAGAGCGCCTTCTGTGGTGCTCAATGAAGCTGGCTGCTATTATGGCAATCTGGGAAGGGTCGCGCGCTCTAACGCTGTCAAAAGGACTCGGCTAATGTTTGACTGCTGCTCTGAGAGGCGGAGGCTTAGCTATAAAAGTTATATTTTCACTGCAGGGATGCCGATAGATATTTTTAGGACCTATAACTTTAGGAATAAGCTCACTGTTTTTAAATAAGCACAACATTAGCTATTTAGCTTGACAAAGCTAACGATGCTAACCATTAGCCGGCAGGCTAAGTTACGTTCATTTGGCTTTATTTTTGGAGAAGAAATCTTTTAATTTGAATTTAATTGTTGTAGTTTAGCAACAGTAGGTGAATCTACGAAACTTCAGCTGCTCCGGAAGAGTCTTGAGGTGATAGATGAGCCTTTCTGATTGCTGTTACTGGTGAATTAAACTGGGAAATCCTGTGGTTTAACTTTTTCATATGGCTCTATTTCATGAGTTTTTTTGTTTTTACTCTTTCCACGAGGATAACATTTTTTAAAGTAAAGATTTAAATGTGATTTAAAAAGGTTTATTCTACCTTAGAAAAAGTACATATTTACATGTTATGACTGAGCTGTGGATTTATAACAGTTTAATTGAAAAGAAAAAAAGATGAAAACAAACAGTCGTGCATTTAATTTACAAGAGGACTTTTATAATTTAAAAAATACTATATTCCTATCCTACTTTAGCACTACCGTTAAAAAAATGTTTTTTCCAAGGTTAAACGTGTTTAAAATGTGATATTACAAGGCATATTTCACATAAGTAAATAATTGTACAAATGTATTTGTTTTGACTGAGCAGATTTTGTGTAACAGGCAAACATTAAAACAAACAGGAAAAGAAACAAAGTTGGCAAAACGAACAGTCTTTACATTTAAAAGTGAGCTTTCGTATTTATATGAAATTCTTGATATAATGCAATAGTAATACTATTCGGGGTTTTTGTTACAAAGGATTAACGCTTCTTTAACGATTTCCTGAAATTTACGGCCTCCACTTTAGCGCCTTGGCATTGGAGCTAAATGTCCCCATCTACCCTGAACCCTTACAGGGACCCTGAACATATCAGACACTGCTGCCAGTTCCTCATGCGGTCTCAGGTCAACTGATAAGCCTGATGCTACAACAAATAGGCTTTGTTTTGTTTCTGAATGGTGTAGATTGGCTTTAATCATCTAATCAGTTTGATTTAAGATTACACACATCAACTAGTGTTCCCATCTCTTTTAAACAATAGTAAATAAAGAGCAGGTATGGATCGGAAGGTGCAGACAGGAGTGTAAATGCCACTTAAATTATAGCATCAAAAACTGATTGTAACATGCAAATAAAAACACAGATAAACTCAACATGTTTTAGTTCCTGCTGATGTATCTAAGAAGATTGAATATACATTTTGAGAAAATTCAAGGACAGTTTTATTGGCTTTTATCTAATTATTGTAGTTGGTCCAAAACCTGCCCTCTTGTATTGATCTTTTTTTTTTTTTCTTCAGACCCTCCAGGATGATGTATATATATGTTTTATGGAACTTGTTTTTATGTACCAAATATGGCATTACATTTCTGTAATTTTTAAATTTTTTTACTCATCACTGGCCATAAACTAAGCATGTATAGTCTTGTAAAAGTCTTGGTCTAACAAGTTTTGATACAAGCGGATCCAGATCCGGCAAAACAGTCCAAATGAAAGTCAGATTTAATACGATGATCTTAGTTATTTTTGGAAAACCTACAGATGGGAAAAATCAGCTTAATAAATGTTTCTTAAATATACAAAACAGAAAAATCTCTGCACTGGAAATCATTACTGTTTGACTTATTTTTTTGTATAAAATAATCTAATAAGCTCATATTTTGTTCATTTAAAAAATCTGTTTTGTTATAAACAAGTTTAATAATATTTAAATAAACACGTTCTTGTGTATTTAGTCAGTATTTAATAAACAAGCACAATAAATAGTTAAGTAATGACGATGTAATTTTTCATTTAAACTTGAAAAGTAAAGAAAACCCCTAAATTTTATAGAAAGATCCTCGTGATAGCAATAAAAACTTAGGTTTTTAATAAAGTTGCTACTTATCATTTAGTTGATCAATAAGTTTAAACATCTATAGATTAGATTCATAGTCAGGAGCCATCTTAAGTTGCCACATTGGGTATAAAAAATGAAGAAAACCTGCCTGATGGATAAAAGGTCATGAGGAAGTACAATGTCCCTGGAATGTGGGCCGTTTAGGACCTGTCGTCGCTTTGTTTGAGGATGGCTTAAACTATGAGTAGAATTGGTAGTGATAATTTACAGCTAAAAAAGAACATCGGTTTATTTCCTGATCAGCCAAACATTTATATAGAATAACTTTAGAGTGGGTGACTTTGACAACTTTTATAGTTGCGTGAGTAATGATTAATGATCTGGAAAGAGATTCCCATGTTGTGGTAACTTTGACTCAACATACTACAGTTTTATTTTGTGATTTATTTTTGAAAATAATTTTTATATAAAACAAAAACTAATGATTTTTTTTTTTCCTCTGGCAAATTAATGTGTATACTAGTTTGTTTGTATTGACACACAGACTTGACCAAAATGCAGATAAACACACTGAATTTAAAAGGTGCATATTAAATACAACTTTTCTTCATTTTACACTTAATAGAATAACACTTTAAGTCTAACAAAATATATTACTCAGTAAATCAGTCAACCAGCATGCAGAATTGACACGTGTTTCTTGTGTAGATTTGAAAATAGTTTTAGCTTAAGAGAATAATGAAATGCTAAATTCATGACTATTGGCTTTTTAATACAAAAAGTCAAACTATAATTTGTATCTATGTTTTTTTGTAAGTGAAAGAAAAGTGAAGTAGCCTTCCCCCCCCCTTTTTTAAAAGTCAACTAACTAACAGTGCAACTGGAAAAAAAACCTCATGGTTTTTGGGTTTTTAGTTAAAAGCTGTTTTGAAACATTAATATAACTTGGTGCTGTTAATCTGCACATAAATCACAGTAATTGACATAAAGAAAACACTCAGTGTTTTGATTGGTTGTATAAATAAACTGATTAAACTTCTAGTAATGATCTAGCATGTTTTCTATATTTGATAATTGTCTGTTTCTTTAATCGAGAATTAATTTGGTTCTTTGAAAGATGACTTATGATAAACTGGAATAAATTTGGGAAAGCGCTATCTGGGAAAAGCTATAGTTAAAACTCTTTTGTCACATTTGAAATTACAGGCTTGAATATAATTCAATTAACTAATATTATCGTAGGGTATAAGGAGATATAAAAAATGGATATAAAAAGGTTGACATATTAAGACAAAATATCAGACTAGTTTGCTTGAGTTGAGCGCTAAAAAAAGAGCAGGATTTAAACAAACCCCTTTTAGAATAACGTGAGATATTAAGCTTAGTAATGATGTTTCATTCATAGTCTATCGTCAGACTGTAATTTAAGAAAACCAGACTCAGCCGAATTTGATGGAGCTTCCCTACCACACCAAACTTCCTCTCCCAGTATAGCTGGGGCATAAATGCTGAGGCTGTGCACTAATTTAATTGCATTTTTTATGGTTTTTGTTTCGATAAATAAGCAACTACAGCTTTTGTCTGATATCCTATAAAATGCACGATATGCTTTTTATAGCTAGCGGCTATTCTGAGCACAAGGATTAGCGTGGAGCTCTGGTTTTCTGACTGGCAGCTGGCATAAATTAGAAGTTGGTTGTCATTCCGGATAAGCATCACACATTGAGCTGGGATATAAAACCTACTTTCTGACAGATTACTGCTCGATCTGGTTCCCAGCTTAAAGAGAAGGGCATTTAGGAATATTTTTGGATGAAGCTTAGACAACTGTGAAGTGTCTCTATAGAACCTGCTAGCAATAAGAGAGACAATGAATATTTCCCTGTTATTTCCTATATGCTTTGGGCAGAGGAGAAACAAAACCTGCAAAGTCCAGCAAGTGCTGCCATTTTGGAAGAAACCTGAACATGCTAAACGGCTATGGAGGACCTAGAGAGTTACTGAGAAAGCAAACCAGCTAATTTAAAATTAACATTTAAATCAGACAATTTGAAAAGCATAATTTGATAAAAAATAAATAACTAAATTTCAAATAAGACTGCCACAAACGGTTAACAAAAGGACCAATAAGGGAGCTGGTTACATCTGAGCAGCAACTCTGATTGTTTAAACTGGTAATGAGTAATAACATATATAATTTAATAAGCAATGAATTACTTATGAAAGACTGAAATTTGAAAATGAAAACACGTTTTCAAATTCCAGTATTGAATAAGTGGTTAATAAAAATACAAGTTTCTTCTTCTATTCTCTTTAAAAATTAAATTCAAAGTGCGTAATTAGAAAATGCTTTTCAAACTGCATGGATTAAATGTTAAATTTGAAATGGCTGGTTTTCTTTTTCACTGAATCTCTAGTTCCTCCAGGAACGGCATGTTTCGACTGATCATGAAATGCTGCAAGGCCTTAAGAGTTTTCCAAGAAACAACTTTTATCTCAAATTCCTTGAAGTAAAAGCAATAAAATCCATCTTTGAACACAAAACGAACACAGAAGCTTTAAATGGCAGCACCAATGGCTGTCAGAGAGGAAAAGTGTTGAGTTGGTCGATTGAACAACTTAATCTGTCTGTAGTTTTGCTCTCTAAGAATACAGGATTCCCTCATTGGAAGGACCTGTTTTATTAACTGCCTCATTTATAGTTCTGATGATACAAAAATCTGATTTGTTAGATTGCTGTGTTTGAATGAAACTCTTTGTTCTTGGCGTTTTTTTCCTGGTTTAGGTGGGGTCGAGGTTTCGGACTGTTGGGGTCCATATTTGGGAACGACAGCGCGCTGAACCAACCCAACAGTGTCTACGGGATACTCTTTTATGCCTTTCAGCTCCTACTAGGTAAGATGCAGCGTTGGTAGATGTGAGCTGTGTGTGTATACTGCATATGTAGCTCCAGATAGCACCAGTTCATCTAAATACCCAGCTAAACTTGACATCATTTTGGGATGATATTGGGTCACACTGCAGCTGAGCAATGATTCTGCTCTTGTTCTACTTGTTGAAACATGAACGCTTCCTGCTGCATGCTCAGTTATGCTGGTGGACTTGCCCGGCCACCTGGGCTTGCCACCAAGCATTAAGCCAGACGGCTGACTTTTCATTTGACTAACACAGCAGCAGCCCAGTTAAACCAAACTGTCAGGATTTCCATAAGGCGATACAAACTTTGAATAGTTTCAGCTCCAGTGGGAAGTAAGCAGCACCTTGGCATCTAACTTTATAACATGTTATGTAGTGGCTTTGATTTATATAAACAGTTTTCTATGAGAGTCGCCAATACACAACAGGGCAATCTTATAAAGCACAGAGAAAATGAAACATGGCTTCAAAAATCATTACAAACATTAATCTGAAAGGTGCTGTGGGTACAATAGCAAGTCTCAGCTTTTGTATCCATATAGGGTAATAATTTTGCCCTTTCTTTTGTTGAAAATAGCTCGAGCTCAGTTGGCTGATCAGATTTAGGTCTGGGCTTTAAATTATTATTTGGAAGGATTGTGTTGATAAAGCCTGGCTGTTTCAGTCTTTCTAGAAAAGTTGGCTAAGAGGGCTTCTCTTTCTCTCTGGACTGGTCCAACCAGATCCCTTCCCCATTCCTTGTTATTAGGAACGATGGCACTCTGTGAGATGGCCTTATCTTAGGGTGTTGCTTTCTTTTATTGCCTAGAACAAAATGTAAAGCTTTTTTCATATAATTACCAATAAATCTGTCTGGATTGTTCCTTGGACTCCATGTTTGTTCCCTGACAAACCTCTGAGGCCGTCACAGACATGTTGGATTTATACTGAGTTTAATTTGAAGTCATACTTGTACCAAAAGGGCAGACAAGCAGTTTTATTTAGAAAAAAACAAATGTAAGCTAGTCTACATGCTTAAAGATTCAAAACATTGGGGTCCCTAATATGTGACACGCATATTAGGGAAGGAGCATGAGTTCCTGGTCCTTCTCTGCTCTTGGTTTTTATGTGTCTGTAGATTCTCTCCTACTGGCTTCTGTGCTCTCGCCGAATTTTGTCCCATGATGAGAAAGTAAACTGCCTGTGATTGGTTGCTTTTCAGGAAATCCTGCCTCTTAAAGCAGCTCTCTCTTCCTGGTTGCGGCTGGAAATGTTAGCACAGCATCCTCAGTACCTTCTGTTTGACACTTGAAGACAGTTGGTTGCTTTGGATTCTATTTAGAACGTTCAGATTAAAGCGGATTGAATATAAAAAGCACACCACACTTTTCAGATTTTTGTCTGTAAACCATGTATCCATGACATTCATAATTATACACCACTCTGTGTTTGTCCATCATATAGAGTTATAATAACCCTGATCGTTAAAGGGGGCTTTAAAAAATGTGCTGTAAATCCAGAAATGTGTAAAATGCGGCTTTAGGGACGGATCAAGTCTGTGAATGAGACATTGTGCTGCTCCTGTGAGGGATCTTTGTTAACAAATACGCGTCACAGAATCGATGATCAGGACATTTTTTGTGAAACCACTTGTTTAATTTATTAACCTTTGACGTCTGTCAGTTTTTCTTTTCACTGTAAAGGCTTGGTTTGTTTACAGTCTACCACAGGCTGTTTATGGTAGACCCTTAAGGTTAAGGAGGCTTATTGTTACTGACGAGGTGAAAAAAAACATGATAGAAAATGTAATTTCCAACTGTCTCATGAAGACCAAACACTGAGAAAACTCTTGTGATGAAACTCCATGTGATGCCAGCACAATATGACCAGTCTGCTGAGCGGTAAAAGGTGAATGTCATCACGAGGAGGCGCTTGGTATGAAAGGAGAACTGTCTGATCCACGGCGAAAACCCAGACTCATCAGCTTTGCTTGTGCAAGTTGTTTTTTTTTTTCTTCTTTTTTCTCTCCTGCTCAGCTAAGCTTCAGTTTGTGTCTCTCGCCATAGGAATGACCGTCAGCGCAATGGCCGCCCTTTTTCTCATGACGACGTCCATCTTGTCGGTGATGGGCTCGCTCTACCTGGGCTACATCCTCTACTTTGTCCTAAAGGACTTCTGCGTCATCTGCATCACCACGTATGCGCTGAACTTCATTCTGTTTATCCTCAACTACAAGCGACTGGTTTACTTGAACGAGGCCTGGAAGCAGAAGCTTCAAGCCAAGCAGGACTGAGCTGCACAGAGAGTCACGGTTTAAAAAAAGAAGCAAAAATAAAAAAGAAAACCTGACAACAACAACAATGAAACAAAAGAAAACAACAAACAGTGAACGTGACCTCTGAACATTTGACTTGCCACCAGGAGACCTTGCTTCCAAACAATGTTTATTTCTGCTGTGTGTTTAAAAAAATGAAGAAATTTAACTTAAATGTTGGGCTTAACATCTCAATATTGATTGCTAACACTGAAGGATTTGTAAGTGAAAGATGGTTTTTGTTCTTTTAATCCCCTCCCTTCCCTGTTTAACCACTCAGTGGTTGGCCCAGCTGCCTGAATTTCAGCGAGTGGGAAACACAGCCGCCTGAGGAAGCCCTCATGGCACGCACCAAATGGAGGACCCTTTCAACGACATAAAAACTGGATCGTAGAAAAGAAGATAAAAGGACATTAAATGGTATAGTTGGAATTAGTAGAGATCATCTGTACTAAAGTGCTGAGCAAAGGTCCCCAAGTCCAAACAAAACACATCTGGTTGCCGTTTAGTTTGCAGATAAGGTCTTACAGCAGGTTGAGAAGAGGATGATGCAATGATTACCGTTTATAAAGAATCGTTTGTTTTGTTTCTTTTTTCCATGTTTACACTTCGTAGTACATTTCTTTTTATTGATGAGGACCACTAAAATAAACATGGGACATTGTGAGATGATTTGTGTAGATCAGTACGTTTGTTTGTTTTATTTCTGCAATTCTGTAAATAGCTGCTGAGCAATATTCAGGGCTTGGTTTGGAGGAAAGAAACTGAGCTGCAGATGAAAATCCAATCAACAGGAAGACTGTGGTAGATGTGGAAGATCGCTGATCGAGATCGGGAAGTGCTTGTCGGGCACATGGGTCAGGAGGATCTTTGTTTATATATGGAGATAATTACACCAGAAACAGATCTGCAGGTTATTTTCACAGGTTGCTCAAAGGCACCCTCACTACCTTTTTTGTTTTTGTTTTTTTAACGTATGTGTAAGAAGCATTCCTAACCACCTCACAGGGTGGGATCCATTAAGACTTATGTGCCTATAGGAGTTTTAAGGTGAATTACCTTCCATTTTTCCTAAGTGTTTTACTTTTTTGGGGGGGGTTAAATACTGACACCGAGGTTTTTGTTTATATCGGTTTTATCGTCTTGGTGACATCGTTCCATTTGTTTGTTTTTGTAAATGAGGAGCCAAGGCGTGGGCCGGGATGGGATTCTCACTATCTGACAAGCTTGACTAAATATAACACAATGTCGTGCTTTTCACAGTGTTAATTGTGCAAATTATCCTTTTTTTTGTCTTTTGCAGAGTAAGCAGATAATAGGTGGTTAACCGGTCAGGCTGTTTGAGTTTTGCCAACTTTTTAGAGCTAAACAGTGTTACTTTAAGGTCTGTGGCCCGGGCTACTTTAGTGATCAAACCCTGAATGTCAATTATTTCAGAACAAACTTCTCTCCTTTAAAACAAAAGTTACATTCAAAATGGTGCAGCAACAAGAGGGGGAGGGGTAATGCTGCTACTTTTTACAGCATCTCAAGGAAATTAATTTAAACCACAGGAGGGTTAAATTTGCAGATGATTACATATTTTTGACGTTCCGGCCTTTAGATGGTAACAAACGTAAAGAAACTACCGTTCTGGTCCGACTTTCTACTCAGCTAGCTGGGATGACATAAAGTAGCTTCTAACTGCTCCTTTAATTTCACATTTATGTTGTTTTTGCAAACAGAAATATTTTATTTTTTAATGGTAGCTGATTGGCAATGCACAGCAGCGTGTAGGCGAGGGTCAATTGGGAGGGTTGCATTATTCTATGCCCAATATATTCAGAGGTTTTAAAAAAAGAAAAAAAGCTCTCTCTGGTGTCTATTTAAAATGGACCTAAAGTTGGAAGACTGAGAGGGACACTTCCTGGTACAGCTGGATCCCCGTACCCGGCCCATGCCTGCAGGAAGCCACCGAAGTGTTTGCCCTCTTGTTTTCCTAGAGGTAGCAAAAGGCTGCTACACTGTGATCGTCTGCTCAAGGGGGTAGAGCTTCCAGCTGGCTCAGGAGTCTTAAAGTCTGGCGGATGCACTAAATACTGCTTGTGTTTGGCGTAACTTTGGTGTCTGTTGGGGGAATCATGGGTTACATGGAAAAAAAACAAAGCTGGTGCACTGTTGATGTAAACTCATGCGTTTTTTAAGAGAACCAAATGTTGCGTTAAGCCATATGTGTATTTCTGTTTTGTTCTGATGAGACAACAGAGTCCCTCACCATTCTTCTTTTTTGTTTCTTTAAACCACACCAGGTTTTAGATCAAACAACGGGTTGAAGCAGAATCAGACTGCTCTGCGGAGAAAGCCCATGTAGCTTGTAGAAAGATTGAAATTCTTCCAGCCAGGATTCATCCTTTTTTTTTTTTTTTTTTTTTCTTATTCTATGGCCGTAACCCAGTTGGACACTTACAAAGATCTGTAACCGTCACTGTAATAAATGTAATGGTCTGAGTCATCTGTGGTAATAAACCATCTCGCCTATGGTCCCCTTTCTTAGTACGATTTGCATCCTGTTGTAAATGAAGGGAGCGTTTAAGTGCTGATAACTGTTGAACTGTGCTTCTAGAGATAAATCAATCCCGGCACGTTTCCATTGCTCATGGCGGTTCATGTTGACCATTTTCCAAGGCAGACCTCTAATCTCTTTCCTCCTTTACATTCCAGGCAGCCATTCTTTTCTCTGCTGACCATTATCCGATTATTACTTATGAAAAGGCATGGGCTGCCATGAACTTTAACTGGAGTAACTTTGACTAAAAACCCCACAGCTTCATTTAACTCAAAGCACATGTGTAATGTTTTATTACTGCAGTCTTGATGTAACTAACTCAGGTGTCTTCCATAGTTTTAAAAAGTGAGATTTGATTTCAATCAATTTTAAAGTCTGAAAATTAATAATTTCCAGATTATCTTATTCTACTGAAAAATGTAATTATAAAGAAATTGTGGTAATTTTTTTTTTTGCATCAGTTTATACTTAAATGATGACATATTCGGCTTGCCACAACTTGAGTGTTTGTCTTTACAGTCAAGTGAGATTTATTTTTTATCACCAGATAAAATGCATTTAAGTTCAAAATCGTGCATCTCATTGGATCTTTTGCCTCTATATCATGTTGGATTCATATTAGGCCTGAAGCTAACAATTATCTTGCCAATCAATTGGTCTGTTGATTAATAATCAGGTTCCTTACAGAAGATTTGTTTACAGAATGAAACCAGGTCAAACTAAAACTTCACTTGAGTTCTGGGTGGACAGATTAATATGTTTTCTTTTTTTCTATAATCAAATGATTTTAATGAATAAAGGAGAATCCAGTTCATGTTTTCAGAATTATCCTTCCATCTTCTCCCACTTAGTCTTTGTCAGAGTCACAGTGGGGCCCGTGCCTATCTCCGGCAGTCCATAGGCTAGAGGCACTCTACATTATGGACAGGTTGCCAGTCTGTCACTTGGCAACCAGCGACTAACAAAGACACAACCATGCACTCACACACTCACCCCTAAGGAGAATTTAGAGAGGCATTTTAACCTAAGTCATGTTTTTGGACTGTGGGAGGAAGCCAGAGTACCTGGAGAGAACACGCACATGCACAGGGAGAATATGCAAACTCCATGCAGAAAGACCCTGGGCCGGGAATCGAAACCATAACCTTGCTGCAAAGCAGCAGTGCTACCCACTGTGTCACCGTGCAGCCTGTTTTCCGCATCATGCCAATGCTAAACATTATGCTAAACATGCTAAACTAGCCCTTGTCCACAATGCTAAATGAGAAGCCAGCTTTAGTGCTGTGTTATGATTGGTTAGGGGGAAATGGAGAGGATAAAGGTGTTATGATTGGCTTCTCGGATGTCCTTTACTGTGACATCACTGACAAAAATGCAAACATTGTAAGAACACTGTTAAAGCCAATTTCGATATGCAGACTAAAGCGAAACTATACCAGCTAAATTTAATAGTAACATACAGACTGGAAGGTACACAAGTTAGTCAGGCCATCTGCTCTGGTAGCCAGCCTGCAAAGGAGTTGGTTGTTTCCACAACTTCCTAAAATATTTCTTTTATGTGAGGGATTTGTTTAGGGCTGAAACAATCGGATTAATCATGATTAATCCAATAATTTAAATATTTGTCAACTAATTTAGAAACTGACTGTTAAACATTCCTTTAGCTGACAGAGCGGCCAACTTAATTAGACCTCTAATTATATCAAAATCATAAAAGAAATATGTAAACAGGTTGTATTTAAGATAAAAAAACCTTTTTTGTCTCGCAGTATGTTCAATCCAGAACTCCTCAAGTGGAAAAGTTTTCATTTAGTAAAAAATCTTTAAGGAACCTTTTGCTATCAGATTATGAATTGATTAATTGAAGATTAATAGATTTACAAAATAATCATTAGTTGCAGCCCTATATTTGTTAGTAGCCTTGTTTCAGCCCACAGTACCCTGCATCATGTTTCTCTTTGCCCCGTACAGCTGGAGAAAAAAATCTGCTAATCTGACACTTTCCCTTCTGCTGCATCTGAAATGGCCTATATTTAAGGATTGGTTCAACGTCGAATTGGGGCACTTTTGGAATTTAACTTTTCCAAACCTCTATGCTGATAACCAGCCCATCTCTGTTTTGTATAGTTCAAGTCTCACAGTCTGGGACTCGTTTTTGAAGCATTGAAATGAATGGGAACCAACAGCTGCTCAGAAAAGAAGGGTTCCAGGTTAAAATCGGTTTGCTTTCATTCCCCGCTTGGCAAACATTGGATGAAATAAAACATCTCGTCTTTTACGAGGAATGAGCTCATCCCAAGTGTCCAGTATCCCCCCCCCTTCAGAAGGCCTGTCTTTTTCTTTTAACCCAACTCAAACTGACATTAAGCTGCCAGGTTCTGCTAGGATCCAGATATGGGTCTGGTGAGGTTTACACAGACCTGGCAGTGCTGATCGTGCTGCACTTAAAAGCGACTTTTTAGGAAATGAGTTTGAGTTAAACATAAAGGATCGCTTTGTTTATGGAATAATTGATGTCAGAAAAATTTCTTTTTTTTTTCTTCCATATTTTATTAATATTTATTTAATCCCTGAGGTATAACTGCCATGTTAGTTACATCACTAATGCCAACAAATGTGCCTTCTGTTTGATCACCCGGCCTTGAGCCAAAGATGAGCAACAGTGACAGGATTGTAGAGGAAGTGCACCGGGCGCTTCTGCTTGCCTTCCAAAGGACGGAATCACAGAAATTGGAAATTCCCAAAGATTTAATTCAATCAAGCGACTAAAAAACCCTGTTGAATCATGGTTGCTTTTTCAAATTGTTTAGTTAATCCTAATTTTACAGTATTATTCTCCATTTATTGTTATCTAGATAACACAGTTTTTTTTTTTCAAAAGAGTACACTCTGTTAAAAAAATGACATTGCAATTTAGTTTGGTAAATTATTTTTATTTTCTTTTAGCTGTATAGACTGTTAACATTAGGAGTTATTTTAGTAAAAAAACAAAAGTCAAGGGGCTGAAGGGATCTGAATTCACTTGTCAGTAAAAAAATGGTTTATTAAAATTCATTGTGGGGGAAACTCACCGGGTTTGCTTCTGTATTGCCAAATATGTTTTAAAATGCTGTATTTTCTTACATGGAAAGTGTTACAGGAATGGTAGAAATGTTGGGGGGAAAAAAAGTTCTCGTTCATATATGATCCGAAGAAGGCTGGCCGAGCAAATTTGAACCTGTTATGTTGAAATGATCTATCATTAAAACATTCCCTCTGAACCCACCTGTCTTTTTTTGTTATTTAAATCTTCAGCATCTGCAGCAACTGTTTATAGCAAAAGACGACACAAACTTATGTTTGTTCATCATAAGATTCAGCTCTGAACTGATTTATCAGAGGTGAATGGAAAACAAGATGCAATCTGACTCATTACTATAAAGTTTAAGGTTACGACCTATTGCTAAATGTAGTAATAGTAGCGTTCCTTATATACGCATGATTTGGCGCTTTATTAGTCAAGCTATCTGCTCTGGTTGCCAGCCTGCTCTCAGCTGCTTCCAGGGAACGAATAAAGCAGCTCCAAACTCCACATTCTCTGGCATCTTCAACCCACTAAAATACAGCAGTGACAGGAAAATCTGGTGCATTTATCCACAGGTGTCTCACTCCAGGACTGAAGCCCTGCAGCTTTCAGAGTCATCTCTGCTCTGCACAGTGGGATCAAATATCCAGGTCAATATAAATTTTACAACTTGATATGCTAATCAAGGTTATTCAATCTGATTCAGGTGTGTTGGAACATAACTAAAAATCTCATTTCTAGCCACCAAAAACATGAACTTTAACCTTTAGGATTCAGGCTTCATTTTGGACAAATTCTTTGTTTATTTCCATTTATTTGCCTCTTATTCCAATTTGCTGTTGGGATTGTGAAAGAAACCAATGTTTGACATGTTGTGATGCAATGTAGCCAGTTTTAACTTGTGCACAAAACTACACAGAAAGAAAAGGTTGCCTGTGTAATTTAGATTTTTTTTCCAGGGAAAAAAAAATCTTTAAAGAATATCTCTCCATTTAAGTGTCTAATGTCCCGAGTAGGATGGGAATAATAATTACGCTGCATTGTCAAAGGTCAGGGATGTGATGAGTGTGCGGGTAGAGTCACTGATAACAGTCATCATGCCACTATCAACAATAGTCACGCCATTTATTTTAACCCTGTAAGAGTATCTGCAAAATCTTGGTCACATTTTGTCTTATATTTAACAATACTGTTTAAATAAAATGGATGAATGTAAGAGGTGTATGGGGGAAATTTTGGCCCATTATTGTTTTGGAACTTGAAAACTGCTGCAATCCAAAAATGAAGCATTTTGATCAAAAAAAGGTTTGCAAAGTAACACTACCAATTTTTTTTTCAATTTGTTTGATTTTTATAAAGTTTTTTAAACTACTTTTAATAACTTTATTTAGAGATGGAGTTTGCATTATTTTTAAATAGAATTTTACAGATTACATTCTCTTCAAGCTCATTACAAACACACTTGACCAATAAAACGGGTCTTTGTTCTTCACTCCAGAAGAAAGCCCTCCCCAAAAGTAAAGCGATCTGTAAATATGAAGAAAAGAAAAAAAGATCTGGAAACAAAACACGCAGTTACTCCATATAGTTTTCATATTGTCTTTACTCAAGTGATTTAGATGTGGAAAAAAAAATCTATATCATTAAATCTAATTTAAATTTAACACATAATTTACCAATATTAAGTTTGATTTTTAGAAAAACAAATGAAATCAAAATTAGTTGGAACTTTACTCCAGTGGTGTCTAAAGTATCCACATTTGATACTCAAGTAGAAGTATAGATACTGCAGTTTAAAAACACTCTGGTTAAAGTTGATCAACTTGACCTCTTTACTTAAGTAAAAGTGCAAATGTATGTGCTCCAAAATCTAATTAAAGTATAAAATTATTAAGTAACCTTTAATAAACAGCCAGATGCCTTTATATGAATTGAAAGCTAAATTTTTCAACTATTTAAAAAATTAATTGAGATAGGGCCAAGGATGAGGGAGGTCTTGTTGGTCTCCGTCTCCCAATACGCTCTCGCCTGTGTCCGACCTTTCAGACATTTCAACATCTTTTTCTGAATCCGAAATTGTAGCACGGCATAGACAATTCACGTTTGCAGTTTGAAGAACACCTGCTTGCTGCTGATGATTTCCTTTAGCTAACCAATGAGTGTTTGCGTTCTATGACTCATCCAATTACACCAGTTTCCACTAGATGTGGATGGTGCCAATGATCTGCATTGGATGGAGCACATGATGGGAAATAAATATTTATAAACATAAAACCGAAGCCAAGAGTAACGAGTAATGTTTGTTTAAAAAATGTAAGGAATAGAAAGTACAGATAGTTGTGTGAAAATGTAATTCATATCTTCAGGTAACACAGAGTACATGTCAGACTTAATAATATTACTTTAGCGATAGTTTCAAGGTGTTGCTTTATTGTATATCTCGTACCGTGTCTTTTGGTTGTGCTGTTCTTTTTTTCATCTCGTTACAGGTGATGAAGCAGACTGAAAATGTTTTGTCATTGTCTCCTTCCTATCTCCTCTTTCTTTCATCTTTTGTCCTTTTTCTTCTTCTGTTTTTCTGCTCTACTTACATTGCAGTGTCCATATGAACTGTAAAACTCCCTGCATAATTATAATAAAGCAATTTATATGCATGAAACAAGTGGAGCAGTATGGCAATTGCCATACCGCTACACTTGTGAAAGTAAAATCTGTTGGGCTCCTTTTGGCATCAAGACAATTATTCTTATTGCCACCTTGCCAGACAGGACACTGTTAAAAAAAAAAAAAATGTAATGAGTAGATGGCAGAAGTAACAAGAAAAATAAGTAATGCAGTAAAGTATAGATACCTAAAAAGTGTGCTTAAGTACAGTAACAAAGTATTTGTACTTCGTTACTTGACACCTCTGCTTTACTCCAACAATATGATCTCATGTCTTTTTCCAGCATTAGCTAGTCAACTCACAGTTAAAGTTGTTCTAATTTTCAATATTTATTCCATAAAAACTAAATCGTCTCACGGCCTGTGTATACAGTGTATGTGTATTATTTATACTCCTAAAGTCTGCAGCAGTAAAATTGGATTAAAACAAATAATATTGGAAAATTAAAGTGACTCATATTTCAGGAAGCTCAAAAAACAAACATAAAACGGATCTTTTCTTCCAAATAAAAAACCTTTAAGATACAAAATGAATAGGAAGAAGGTCAAAATTAGAAACAGTTGTTGAGATAATCAAAAATAACGATTAAAAAAGAAAAACGTTAACCATAATTAAATGGAGCAGTTCCATTGAATCTAGTCTAATTCAGGGAAACGCAGCAGGTCCAAACCCAGGTCTGATTTGCTCAGGTGATAAACCAGGTAGGTGTTCCGCTGTATCGTTTCCACTGCATATTCTACTGGTAACATCTTTGATACATAAGATTCACATTCTGTTTTTATACTGGTTATAAGTCAGAGCAAACTAACAACTATTTAGAAAAAAAAAGGCAGGTTCTGACAGATTTAGATCTGAATTTTAATCTTTGGAGGCTATGTTATGTTGAATGCTTGATATGCTTACCTATCATTTGGAAAAGAAAAATAAACCCCAATCAAAAAAAAAAAAAAAAAGCGTTTAGATATCAGTACGGATGACTGAGGTGAGGTCTGGACTAATTACAGACTCACTCCTGTTTATAATGAAGTCAAATCAATTTAATATAAAATCCTGCATATGACTAGAACAACTTGAATACCAGAAGATAACCCTGCTACCACCAGTACAGGCTGGAACATTCATTAGATTCACTTTATTTACAGTCTTAATTCAGAACAAACAGCCTTCAGGCACTTTTTACAGGAAAAGGTCAATCCCTCACACCAAGCATGCATGTAGTGACAGTGGAGAGGAAAACTCCATTTTAAGAGGAAGGAACCTTAAGCAGAACCAGGCTCTGTGTGTGTTGGGGTGCATTTATTGGTCCATCTGTAAAACTACAGAGAAACAGTATGTTGGAGAACATGTTCAATATCAAACAAGTGGACCCCAGATGCTTCCTCATCAAATCTCTATTTAAGGGCATATTCCACCTTTAATAAGCAGTCCTTTATTAAAGGCTTGCCTCCATTGCAGGTTTACTGTTGCCGTATAATTTCTGCCTGTAAGCATTTAAAAAGGATTGGTCCAACAGTCCTGCCTCTAGAGATTGATTCCAGCAGCTGATCCCGTTAAACCTGAGTTATTTAAGTTCAACAAAGAAATTCAAAAATATAACAGTTGTTTCTTTGTTTAACATGAATCAGACCTTTACACATTACACATTTTGATTAGACGTTATTTGAGTGTAAACACTAAAGTCGCTTTCGATGATTCAATGCATCCTGGGCCCTAAACACCTGTGTTAATCTGTCACAGTGGGCAGGGGTACTTGGTCCACAGTGGAAGGGTGCCGGTTTCGTTTGCCAGCCTCCAGTATCTCTCCTTTAGGATGAACGCCGCCGCTTTGGGTTGCCTTTGCCGGGTGAAAACACCCTTCTTATTTCCCACCATCCGCGTGATCCCTGCAAAGAAAAGGTCAACAAAAACAGTTCACAGTAATGATATCCCAGTATATGAAGCCAGAGGCTGGTAAAAACACACCAACTGCAGAATCTGTATCAAGAACCTAGAAATGGGTCTACTTGTTTCAGGATCAGACGTCATGCATCGACTTAAAAAACCCAAAACAGATCCAAGCGAAAATGGAGAATCAACGAGAAGAGTCAGGAGAACTAAACCAGCAGATTTTGAGCCAACAGCTCAGAAACCTGCATTTTGTGTTTGAGAAGCTCCTCTGCTCAAACACCATACTTAGATGATCAGCTGCCATCAGTGGAAATCAGGTTTGCTAAAGCAGGGAAATCCTGTAAGACACCAAAGGCCTGGAGGACTGTCTTTGGACACCCCTCAGCCTGCGATACTCGTTAACAATAACAGTCCTCAGTATAGGGGTCGCAAAAATGGTTTTATCAGTCATTGTGATATTACCCTTTATAGAGAGACAGAATATATAATAAAATACAGTAATATCCCATAAAATACACTCACCGGCCACTTTATTAGGTACCCCATGCTAGTAACGGGTTGGACCCCCTTTTACCTTCAGAACTGCCTCAATTCTTCGTGGCATAGATTCAACAAGGTGCTGGAAGCATTCCTCAGGGAGTTTGGTCCATATTGACATGATGGCATCACACAGTTGACGCAGATTTGTCGGCTGCACATCCATGATGCGAATCTCCCGTTCCACCACATCCCAAAGATGCTCTATTGGATTGAGATCTGGTGACTGTGGAGGCCATTTGAGTACAGTGAACTCATTGTCATGTTCAAGAAACCAGTCTGATATGATTCCAGCTTTATGACATGGCGCATTATCCTGCTGAAAGTAGCCATCAGAAGTTGGGTACATTGTGGTCATAAAGGGATGGACATAGTCAGCAACAATACTCAGGTAGGCTGTGGCGTTGCAACGATGCTCAATTGGTACCAAGGGGCCCAAAGAGTGCCAAGGAAATATTCCCCATACCATGACACCACCACCACCAGCCTGAACCGTTGATACAAGGCAGGATGGATCCATGCTTTCATGTTGTAGACGCCAAATTCTGACCCTACCATCCGAACGTCGCAGCAGAAATCGAGACTCATCAGACCAGGCAACGTTTTTCCAATCTTCTATTGTCCAATTTCGATGAGCTTGTGCAAATTGTAGCCTCAGTTTCCTGTTCTTAGCTGAAAGGAGTGGCACCCGGTGTGGTCTTCTGCTGCTGTAGCCCATCTGCCTCAAAGGTCGACGTACTGTGCGTTCAGAGATGCTCTTCTGCCCGCCTTGGTTGTAACGGGTGGTTATTTGAGTCACTGTTGCCCTTCTATCAGCTCGAACCAGTCTGGCCATTCTCCTCTGACCTCTGGCATCAACAAGGCATTTCCGCCCACAGAACTGGATGTTTTTTCTTTTTCGGACCATTCTCTGTAAACCCTAGAGATGGTTGTGTGTGAAAATCCCAGTAGATCAGCAGTTTCTGAAATACTCAGACCAGCCCTTCTGGCACCAACAATCATGCCACGTTCAAAGTCACTCAAATCACCTTTCTTCCCCATACTGATGCTCGGTTTGAACTGCAGGAGATTGTCTTGACCATGTCTACATGCCTAAATGCACTGAGTTGCCGCCATGTGATTGGCTGCTTAGAAATTAAGTGTTAACGAGCAGTTGGACAGGTGTACCTAATAAAGTGGCCGGTGAGTGTAAATAACTGTATAATAAGAAAGTAGATGTATTTTTAAACATTAAATATATAATTAAATTTTAAAATGCAGCAATAAATAACTTGAAATTCATTTAAAATTATGAATAAAATAATTGAACCATTTGGAAGAAAAAAACATTTTAAAATGAATGTATTTACTTTTAAAATAATTATAACTACTTCACTTATAACTAAACAGAGGGAAATACTGTAAAGTGCCTTGAGATGACATGTGTTGTGAATTTGCACTATATGAATAAACTGAACTAATGTAATGTATTTTAGGGGGTCGTAAGTCTTTTTTGGGGGGTCTCAGGCTGAAATGTTTGGGAATTCTTGTTGTAAGGTTTACAGAGAGGCTAAAACTGCTAAATAAATGGATGCAAATTTGTTATAACAGAGCAATAATCTCTTTTAATGGAAAGTTGTTGTTTTTTTTCACTTCAGCAACCAAAATTGCTTCTAAAACTTGCAAAAGAAAATTTAAAATGCAATATTTGGGCTTAAAAGAAAAAAAAATGATGTTACTGATGGCTGCTCATAACGTTCTGCCCCCCCCCCCCCCCCGATGAGGAGTAATGATCCAGAGAGAGAACGCTGGCAGTTCCTGCTCACCTTGTGTGGTCATGAAGTCAGCAAAGTTCCAGATGAGCTCCCCGATTAAATATTTCTTCCTTTTCTGGTCAAACACGTTGTGGTAACTCTGCAGAACCACTTTCTGATACTCCTCAGTAAACATCACAGGTGGATCCTGAGGAGAAACAGTCAATTATACTTCTTAAGCTGGGCTGTGTCAGATATCTGGTCACCATGGCGATTTACAGGTGAAAACTCTCAGCTGACGTAAAAGATACAAACCCATGCATAGGGTGACCATATTTTCATTTGGGAAAACCAGGACACCTTGGAGCGGGGGGGGGGGGGGGGGGGGGGGGGGGGGGGTTGATATTGAAAGAACAAATGTGAACAAATGTCTCATCATCGGGATTTGCTCCGTGATCAGAGGAAATTTTACTTGCCGCAGAACAGTTGTGAAAATTTGAAGTTCAGTTTAATATAATAATACAACTCTGTGAATAGTTCCGTCTGAAATTAATGAAAATAGTTGTTTTAATGGTTATTGAGTCAGATATGTGGCGGTAATGTTTGATTTATCTAAAGGTTTTAATCTGTTACTGTGTAAATGAGTTTGGCTGTAATTTAAGGACAGATTCTAATAGATCTGCAGAGTGGGGACTATAAATCTGATAGGATTTTAATTTTTTTATTGTTGTTTTGCACAATATGCTTAACTAAGTATTTTTTGTTGTTGAATATTAGAGATTTTGCAGATACATTTTGTAGATACATTGTTTAGATTTACTTATATATTTCTAACCCTTTTATAGAATAGAATAGAAAATCCCTTTATTGTCCCACAATGGGCAAATTTACAGCAGCAGAAAGATTATTGAAAATGGTCACACAAATGAGGAGCTTAGAGAAATGTATAAGAATAACATAATAGGGAAGAGTTAAAATATAAAAAATAAAATTCTGTAAAGTGTTTTAACAATATAAAACTGGAGAATTAATAACCAATATGCAGCTATGGACATTTTTACAATAATGGATATTTGAAAATAGCAGCAACATCAGAGATGTGCAGAATGACAGCAGCATGTTATTTAACTGACTAAGGTTTCTATCATTACATTTGATTTGATTTGTTCCTGCTCCCGGCTGTTGGAACCTTTATTCCACTCTGGATTCTTGTGAGTGTAGTCTTTGTTCACTTTAACTTTTTTTAAAATAAATAAATAAACAAACAGTTTTGAAAACCTCGGTATTCATTCTTTTCCTGCTTTGTGTGTCAACTTTCACGGTTGCTAAGCAACAGAGCATACGGCGGTAAAACCCGCCGAAGGGTAGACCTGTTCGAATTTACAGACAGAACTCTTCCGGCCTCCTTATTTTCAAGGACTTCGAAGGATCCAGTCTAGGTAGACCGCGTCCTTGGAGGATGCAGCCCAGGTTTTTTAACAGAGCCTTTGATTAAGAACAGGGCTGCCCGCACTGACGCGGCTCAGGGATTACGTCACACGGAGCGTTGTGCGCAGTGAAATCAGGACATTTCCTCACTTTCTAAAAAAAACCCGGGACAGGACGTGAAATACGGATATGTCCCGGGATATACAGACGTTTGGTCACCCTACCCATGCAGCTCCTGTGGGAATAGACACACTATTTTATGTTTAGAGAAAAAAAAACAGGATTCATTTAATTTACTAGAATTTAGAAGCATAAGTTTTAAGGTATTCTGAATGCTCTCTAATCTGGATCAAATGGATTTGTATACTGGTCTAAATACACAAATACAGCCCTGTTAAAATATGGAAGAACGTCTTTGTCTATTTTCTACCTAAAACCTGTGGCTTTCAAAAATCTGGCATAAAAAAAAAAAAAAAAAAACACTCTTGATTATTGATCGTTTTGTAAAATCATCAGATTTTCTATCGTAGAAGCAGTTTTATAAGCTGAACCATCCTGTTGGAATCGCATTAAAGTTCTCTGGAGAGAAGTTTTAGGATCAAATGGGATAAATATGTGAGCCTTTCAACTAAACTAACACATCAACCGAAGCACAGGGGAAAAAGCAAATATCATAGATAGACCGATACGTTATGTTCCTCTTGTATCGTATTAGCCGATATATGCATGCATTGGATGGTTCATTACTGCAGGGCTTTCTAAACTGTGGGTGGGGGGGGTTTGGGGGCATTGATATTGCAGGGGGAGCGTGTTAGAAAGACATCGCATAACTGACCCAGTTAAAACGTTTTTATTTGTTGATAGTAGGGCTGCAACTAAGGATTATTTTGCAAATCGATTAATAATCTGATAAAAAAAAAAGTTTCCTTAAAGAAGTTTTTTACTTAATTAAACCAAGTAAAACTAAAACTTTTCCACTTGAGAAGTTCTGGACAGAGCATAGTGACAGACCAAAAAATTTTTTAATCTTAAATGCAAATTAATATGATTACTGCTCTGAGTGGATTGCTCTGTCAGCTAAAAGCATGTTTTAGACTCTCTATAATGTATTTAATGATGAATTGATCACTAAATTAGTTGACGATTATTTCATTAATCGATTAATCATGATTAATCCGATTAATTTTTTCAGCCCTAGTTGATAGCAATGTTGAAATCTGTTACACGTTAGAATGAACGGCTAAACTTAAAATAATTACACTTTAAAGGTGGTAGTTATGTTAATTTAAAGTAGACTGTAGTTTATTTTATTAAAATATTAATTCCCTGCTGTTGACCGTGGTTTATTAAATTGTTGAAAAGGTTGGAGTGGGGTTAGAGATTGAGAGGGCATAAAAACTGTTTTGTAAATAAAAGTTGGAGTTATTGCCTTGCTAATTGCTACATTGCTAATCTTTAGTTTGATTTGTGTTTTGTTTAAATTGAGACATTTGTAACATTTCTTTTCATATAAATGCAGGAAGAAAAAGCAACAACAGGCCCAAAAATATCCGGAATACAAATCATGTAGATTAGACTGATGTCAAAAATAATCCTAAAAAGGATTAAAGAAAAAGAAAATAAAACCTCTATAGGTCAACCTGTACAAAATCGCAATGATCGAACAGGATAGTGACTCTTAAACATGGAGCTTGGATGTCCTTCCCAAAGCCTCATTCAGGCTTTCCTAGGTTAATCAATTCAAATTAACTTTTATCTATAAATGTCAGTAAAGTGGTCACATTTCTGGCCAGAAAGATGCCATGACCTTGTTGATGGCTCCAAAGTCTGACGTTTCTCTGCAACTACTTAAAGAAAGTTAATCCAAAAATATCAAAGGTGTGTATGTATATATTTAAGGAAAAAAAACAACTAACTGGAACATCTAGTTTTTGTTTTTTTTTTTAAATCCAATTGATTATAATAATTACACGTTGGTAAAAAAATGGCAGATTAAATGCCTACAATGCTCGTATGTGAACTTCAGAGCAGAACAGCAGTCTGGAAGGCTAGAGGTGCTTGTGTAGGTGTGTCTCCTCACATTATGAACCCCCGCCACCGCATCCGCTCCATACTCGCTCTGGATGATGGGCTTCTTGTATTTTCCGTACCAGTCCTCAAACTGAGTGTTGAGCTGCAGAGAGATGACCTCCATGTGGCCTGGATCGTGGTACCAGGAGAAGTAGCTGTTGACGCAGATCACATCCACAAAGGGAGCCTGGAGACACAACAGCACATGTTAGAGAGCCGCCAGGCTTGCTAAGCTAACCTGTAAAGGTCCTCAATGTCTACAAACGATGTTTGATATTTGTCCCTCTTTAAAAAAAGAAAATATCTACAGGTTTGAAATATTGTGTGTTTACATGCTCTATTAAAGGATTTACAGATTAATTTGACCCAGGTTACCCTCCGCAGTGAAAAGAATTTCCTAGCTGAAGGCTCATCTTTACCCCAATGGTCAGATCTAAGGGACATCGGAGCGTTTTTACTTTATTGTACTGCTGTTATAAAGAGGAAAACCGTCTCACTCCTTTGTCCCGTGCGTAGTTACTGTCTGTGATGTAGGTTACAGGTCGGGTGGGGTCCAACGCTCTGGTGTGCGCTATCAAAGTCCTGTAGGAAGAAAAAATAAACTGAAAACACAGAGTCCCAGGGAGATTGATCTGCAAATTGGATTGATGATTACACAGTTACGCAATCAGAGAGATAACAGGATTTGTGGAATTGTCTGTGCAGCTGGAACAGTGGGACCATTTTGTTCTCACGGTTCATTTGTGGATTATTTGGAAAAGATGTGTGGTTCTCTGGGAACACTGAACTCCAGCTGTTAGCTGCAGCTTCATAACCGGTCCAACAGCATTCCTTACTTTACAGAAAAGTGACTGACAGCGCAGTGTAAGGGAGGCTCTCAACGATTCCTCCGTGAAATCAAGGCTGAACTAAAACATCTCTTTCATATTTCATATGCTTTTCAAATTACAGGACTTCCCATCAAAATGGTTATAAAGAAAAGTTCCAGAAAAAGTACTTTATTCTCGATAAATGGCTCAATTATCAGCGGTTTTAGGCGTCTCATTGCTTCCTGATAAAATGAACTGAGTGAGGCTTCTGCACCACTAGATGGCAGCAGAGGATGAGCAAACGTTTGAATCAGGTGGGCTTTGCCTGAGAGACAATGAAACAAAAAACAAGGCAAATGTAAAAAATTGTAGATAAAATAAAACTGTATAATATTGCTAACTATAAAAAAAAGAAAAATGAAGCTGGCTCAAGTGACCCATCAGTCACAGTATCTGTTCCAGAAAATGTATTTAATAGAACGTTTATTTAGTATCATGTCTTTAGTACAGGGGTAAGGACCATTTATACAGGGGCGTTGGCACCCACTGGCCCCCGGTCTAGAACCACTCATGATTTAATATATGCAGGGCTGGAACAAGGAGGGCAGCGGCCCCTGAAGAGCAGTAGAAGAGGACCACTGAGGCTTGGTTTAACATCGCGGTAGAAACACATCTCTATCTATATATGGAGACGTTGAAGTCTGTTACCCTGTAAAATAAACTGTTACACTTCAAATAAAGGGGATCTTATTTTATTTTTATATTCTTTAGCGCTGTTCACTTCTCAGTCTTCTACAGTTGAAAAGATTGGTTAGGTTTAAGAACTATTAAATTACCAAGAAAATGATGGAAACCTTTGGTCTAACTGATGGATTTAGAGAAGGGCTCTCCAACCCTGGTCCTCAAGATCTACTGTCCTGCAGTTTATTTTAGATGCAACCCTGCTCAGACACTGATAATTCAAATAACTGGATTATCTCTTCAGCATGCCATCAATACCGTATTTTCGCGACTATAAGGCGCATATAAACGTATTTTTTCCCCCCTCAAAATGTGCGGCTCACCCTATAGTGCGGTGCGCCCCATGTGTGTTGTTACTGCGGACCTTTGAGACCACCATGAGAACGTTAAAGGGGGAAGTGTGGGCGTGGATTGTGTATAAAAGAACAGGTATGTGCTTTATGCAGAACTCCTCATCTCCTCATTGAGGAGATTATGAAAGCGTGGCTGAGGGAGGTGAATGTAAGGAGACCAGGTGTTTTTTTTTTGCTGCTTGTACCAGTTAGTTCTGACGCGCGGCTGAAGCAGCTTTGCTGCTCTGGCTGCGCGGTGCAAAAATGTGTCTGATGCGCATTGGGCGGAGCTACTCTATCCTTTCTCTGCCTTGCAGCTATATTTGCTGTGATCAGTGGGAATAAAGTAGTTTTAATATGTTTTTAAAGTGAGAAAGTCCACCTGAAAACTTAATCATTGCAGTCAGTTCATCCAGATTACTATCCTGCCTTCCAATATTATTTCTATAGGAGCCGCTCAGACCCCCACATACCAGCGGTGCGCTGTCAGTAGGAATCCCATTCAACAGCAGCCTCTGGATAAGGATAATAAAAGCCAACATATTCTGCCGGCAGATTTCTGCATTTTAAGTTAATTTATGCGTCAATAAACTGTTTCAGAGGAGTGATCATAGCGCTCTGTGTCATCAGCGATGTGTCTGTCTCACGGCCAGCTCCCAGGTTTGATTAATACTTTGTAATAAATACATGAATAAAGCACAATCATACTCAGTTTTGCTCCCGCTCTATTTTGAAATACGCAGTAGAGGTATTTAAACGTAGTAGAGGACATGTACATGTTAAATACAGTAATGGCACACATAACTGAAACTACTCCTTTTAGTACGGTGTGCCTTATGGTCGTGAAAATACGGTATATATATTAAATTTGCTGTTATGGAGCAGGGATGCATCTAAAACCTGCAGAACAATAGATCATGAGCACCAGGGTTGAAGAACCCGGGTTTAGAGCCTCCACAGTGAGTTAGCTAGTACTGCCAACAGTAATAAAGACAGAATTTAAATAACGCTTATCCATACCAGGATGCAGAGAAGGACCTAATCCGTCTTTTATTTATTTTGAAATAAATAAAAGACAGATTTTTTTGTTAATGAAAAGTGCGGTACAAATTGGATTTATTATTATTATTATTATTATTAAAAAGACAACTGAAAACCAGGCTGAGACTGCTGGGAAATGCCTTAATACACACTGGAGGGCCATGGATTTAAGATGAAAACATTATCAGCAAAAAAAGAAGTAGCAAGGATGAGAGCCTGAGGTTTCCAAATCAGACCCCCTCCTCTCCTCAACACATCCGGTCCATGAAGCCAAAGAACTGGGATCAGGAACAAGAAGACAGCCTGAGAGAGTCCAATTTTTATAGCAGGGATGCGAGAATCCCTCCTCAAGGACATTTGTCCTGCACCTTTTAGATGCATGCATGCTTTAACACAAGAAATTAGTGAGTCCTTTGCAGGACTCTAAAGAACCGGACTTCATCTGAGAAGGGAATAAAGCCATTGATTCAGAGGTGTTGGACCAGGGAGATATACCGGCCCTCAAAGACTAATTTAACATCCCTGCTTTACAGGGAATAAACTATAAACTCTGTGGCATCGAACAAAGACAGAGCTTCTGTATTTAAAAGCCATGCTTCTCCTGGATCAGAGGTTAAACTCCTGCTCTCTGTCTTTATAAAACATGTACACAGTACCTGCTACTATGCAGGTTATATACATTTACCCAATTTTCTGTTCAAGGCTTCTACTTTCAATTAGTAGTTTTTAGAAAAACAAAAAAAACTTTTAGATATCAATTCAATTGATTGAAAAATGGTAAACTGAGCTTTGATCCCACCAATCTTTAAAGCTGAAGTCTGTAAGTTTCTAAAAATCACTTTTTTGTCATATTGGCTAAATCTGTCCCTATGCCCAGACAGCAGTACATGTGATATGTAACCTGTGAAAAAAACTGCTTCAATTGGTACCGCCTACTGCCTGTATTTCAATCTGGAAAGAATAATTCGGGACGAGTCAAAACAACCAATCACAGCCAGAGGAGCGTCTGATGGAGTTTCAATCACAGCTCACACACGCTGAATCCCCCCCCCCCCCCCCCCCCCCCCCCCCTTCTGGTCGCATGCGGTAGCCGCGCAGATGCTGTGAGAGGGGTGGAGCTTGGACATGAGGGAAGCAGAGAGGGTGGGAGAGTGGCGTGAAACCTGTTTTTCTTCAAATTTTCAGTTGAAGTCTGCTCTCTCCTCAATGTTACAGACTGCAGCTTTAATAGAAGTGGGTATTTATTTTATCATTAGTGTGAAAAGATGATTGAAAACTCTAGAAACTAGGTGAACTGTCAGATTTTTTTTTTCAAAACTATTTTTTTGTTCCATTGGAGAATTTAAAAAAATTGAAGAATATAATTTAAAGGCACACTATGCAACATTTTCAGTTAATTAATGTGTTCCATAACGTTTTGGATGATTAAATGAGTCATTTCAGGTTGAACAAAGGTATTCTCGGCCGCCCTGGTGGTCTGTGGGGGAAATACCGCACTTGCAATTGCAGGAGCACCGACCCGCACCCACAGGCTCAGAAGTCTCGCGAGAGTCGTACTTGCTTTACGGCGAGAACTGTTACACCCCCCAGTTAAAAGCATGCTCGTTGCTAGCACAGTGGCGATCTTTGTGCAGTGCTGCTTTTACACCGGACGCAGCAAAAGCAGCAAAATCGCGTCTGCTGCTTCATTTTTACTGCTTGTACCAGTTAGTTCTGACGCACGGCTGAAGCAGCTTTGCTGCTCTGGCTGCGCGGTGCAAAATTGTGTCTGACGCGCGTTGGGCGGAGCTTCACTATCCTTTCTCTGCCTTGCAGCTATATTTGCTATGATCAGTGGGAATAAAGTAGTTTTAATGTTTTTAAGTTAGAAAATACACCTGAAAACGTAATCAGTGCAGTCAGTTCATTCAGATTCCCACATACCAGCGGTGCGCCGACAGTAGGAATCCCTTCATCAGCAGCCTCTGGCCGGTTCGCCTCCTCGCGGTTCACCGCGGCAGCTGGTAGGTGTTTTTCATCTAAATAATCCAAACTGCAGGCAGCAGGATAATAAAAGCGAACATATTCTGCCGGCAGATTTCTGCATTTTAAGTTAATTTAGGCGTCAATAAACTGTTTAAGAGGAGTGATCATAGCGCCCTGATCATCAGCGCTGTGTCTCTCTCCCTGCCAGCTCCCAGATCAGCTTCTCTGATTGGTTGACGCGGCGCGTCGAGCAGCAAAAATTCAATTTTTCCATCTCGAGCAGCAGCGCGTTTGCGACGCGTCACGCGCATTAGATGCTTCATTCGTTGCGTTCGCCTGTCTGCTAAGCTCAAAAAAACCGCGCCTGGCTTGACGGAGAACCCAAGAGAACAGCTGTGCATATTTACGACAGTGCACTTTTACTTTCGCCCTCTGGGGGGAGCCTCGCTGGAAAATCAACACCGGTTGCATAGTATACCTTTAATGTGGTTAGCACTGGATGTTTAGTGATATAAACCATATACTTCCTTATGTAACTGGTGTCCTGGAAAAGCTGATTAACCTCTGCTAAGGGGTTATGTTTTTAGTCGAGTTTGTGTAACTGTCCTTCAGGATCACTTGAAAATTTAAGAGGAGATTTTAATGAAATTTGTACCAAAGGTGCACCTCAGTCAAAGGAACATTTTTAGTGTTG